ATCAGAGTAGTTGTGCCTACACTCCATTATAAAATGGAGTTGTAGAAAGAAATCACTAGCACATATTGGATACTGCAAGGGCACTAAAGTTTCAAGAAAATCTACCAAAAAGGTTTTGGGGAGAGTGTGCAGACAACTGTTTACATCATGAATAGATGAACCAATTAAAGCATTGTGAAGATATGCATGAATGCGTAGTAGATCAGTCTTTAGGAAAACCTCTTTTGATTATTCTCCTAACTAGATTTAATTAATAATTCTACTAGCCTCTTTCGATTACTTAGAAGAATCTATGAACTCAACCAACAATATAATGCTAAGATATTACAGGTTATGCCTCTTTCGATTACAAGAACAAGTGAATATAGATGCAATAATTAAATTTTCCAAAAATTATTAAAATACATAAAAATAGAGTTATAATCTACAAACAATCATCAATACACCAAATCCATCAAAACCCAAAAGGATCTACTCCATAGACATGGAGAAGTTCTTCACAAATGTAACTAAAGTATAGGAAAACATAAATTCAATCCAAACCCGGATCTTGGGTGAGGAAGGAATGATTAAATCCTTGTACTTGTGTTCTTCCAACTCCTACTTAGCCTCCTTAGCCTCATTGGCCTCCTTAGATTGAAATTGTGTCAAAAGTCCCGAAAAATGTGTTTTCCTGTGTATTTAAGCCATCCCCCAATAAAACCCGGACGAAATTACCCTTTTTAGCGAAATTGGGAAGTCACTCTAACATTTTTGGGCTATCGCGCCCCATGCGGCGTGGTTGTGGAAAATTCCAGAAGGATTCAAGATATGATTTTTGGCCATTTTTTGCACTAGCGTGCCGCGGGGCATGCCGCGGGGAGGTAGTGCAAATTGTGGCCAGAAATGAGTTTTTCAAATTTTTGACATCCAGACTTGATTTTCGACCCCCGGACATGATCCGCCTTAGTTGCTTGGGCTTCTACTCAGACTTCATAGCTCCAAATAGCTCGAATTAGCTCCACGACATCTACATAACTGAGAATCACTCCTACAAGGCATAAAATACACAAGTGCAAAAACATTACCAATTAAAGCTCAACACAAGTAAAGTGCAGTGAATTAGAGTGTAATAAGCGACTAAAATACAGGATTATAGCCTACCATCAACACCCCACACTTAAACTATTGCTTGTCCTCGAGCAATCAAACTATACTTCACATAGACACGCCCTTTTTAAACAACTCTCCTAACTCATCACTTCAATAATAATCAAACATATTAAGCACAATATGTAACATCCTCGCCTCAAGAGGTGACTCAACAGCACCACATATTTTTCACAACCTGCTCACTTACTCTAACACAGAGGTCAATGACATTAGCTTTCCTTCATGAATCAAGTGCCATGACACAACAATAGAGAGTAGTTCCACACACAATAAAGTTTAAGAACAGTTAGGAACTCAAGATAGGAAGAATTCACTCACTCTCAGAAACAATATTCATGTGCCACAAAAGATGTACCATAAGCTTGCCCGTAATGTAATACTCAACTAATTGAGCTCATTCAGTCAAGGATCAAATAAGACTTTAACTGGTTGTAATGTAGGTTGCGGGATGGTAGGATATATTTTTATATAGTGACTACACCCCCCTGAGTACTTTAATACATATACATTAGCAATTTAAACCCCGCACTTGTGTTGAACCATACCCCAACCTTCATTCCTATAGCTTCAAGCTCCCCATATCTTTAAGCACATACAAGGTGAGAGCCACCACTAGCAAGGAATAAATTCTTTTTTCCAATTATTCTCTTTTTTTTAATTCTCTGCATGTGGCTCTCACAAATTTTTAAATTGTGCACCTTTCTCCTTTTTCTGTATTTCCACTCAAAACCCAACCATACCTCACTTAGCTTTTACAATCTCATAAGAAAATCAAGTGCTCACGAGAGGTAAAAGGTTCAAACAGATAGACAATTCAAACAAATGGGTCAAGCTTATAGTGTGGTTGCCAAAGAAATATGATTACAGGTTCAACGGGGCTAACTAAGATACACATTAATTTGGTAGGTAAAAGCATATATTTGGCTCAACAAAGAAATGCCTATATTACTTCCTAGACTGAACAAGACTACTATTTTGCTTTGACAAGCGCAAAACACACACTTAAATTGTGCTCGCTAGTCAAAGATAGTATAGTATAATATCGTGTCCATAGGGATTGGATTTAAATAGTAGTCTCATAGTTTCTAACATGATTGCTATCCAGGATGATCAACAATTGAGATTTATATGATTAATAATAAAATTTAATTAAGAATTTAATATCTACAGCTATTGACTAGTGACTATCGAAATAAGGAATAAGCAATTAAGGTTATCAGTGGAAGAGGATAGGGTTTTGACAGAATAAGTGCAAGATAATTGTTCGGGATCTAACTCTAGATAATTCATTTCCAATGTTCAAGTGAGTCTCTCGAATTCACTCTATTATTAATTCAAACATTCAGCAAAAACTACTTCTCTCTCGATTAAGTCTTAACCTCACGAGATGAACCAATTAAAGCACTGTGAAGATACGCAAGAATACGTAGTAGATCAGTCTTTAGGAAAACCTCTTTCGATTAATATCCTAACTAGATTTAATCAATAATTCAACTAGCCTCTTTCGATTACTTAGAAGAATCTATGAACTCAACCAATAATATAATGCAAAGATATTATAAGTTATGCCTCTTTCGATTACAAGAACAAGTGAATATAGATGCAATAGTTAAATCTTCCAAAAACGATTCAAATACATAAAAATAGAGTTATAATCCACAAACAATCATCAATACATCAAATCCATCAAAACCCAATAGGATATACTCCATAGACATGGAGAAGTTCTTCACAAATGTAACTAAAGTATAGGAAAACATAAATTCAATCCAAACCCGGATTTTGAGTGAGGAAGGAATGATTAAATCCTTGTGCTTGTGTTCTTCCAACTCCTCCTTGGCCTCCTTAGGTCGAAATTGTGTCAAAAGTCCCAAAAAATGATGTTTTCCCGTGTATATAAGACATCCCCCAATAAACCCCAGATGAAATTACCCTTTTTAGCGGTTTGGCTACCGCAATGCGTGCCGCGCCGCCCCATGCGACGCGGTTGTGGAAAATTCCATAACGATTCAAAGTATCATTCCTGGCTACTTTTTGCACTAGCACCTCGCAGGCATGCCGCGGGGCGGTAGTGCAAATTATGGCCAGAAATGATTTTTTGAAATTTTTGGCATCCAGCCTTGGTTTTCGATCCCCGAACGTGATCGTGGCTTAATAGCTTGGGCTTTTACTGAGACTTCAAAACTTCAAATAGCTAGAATTAGCTCCACAACATCTACATAACTCGAAATCACTCCTAGAAGGCATAATTCAAAGATATCACAAGTTATGTCTCTCTCGATTACATGACCTAGTGAATATAGATGCAACAATTAAATATTATAAAATGATTCAAATACATAAAAATAGAGTTATAATCCACAAACAATCATCAATACACCAAATTCATCAAAACCCAAAAGAAACTACTCCATAGATTTGGAGAAGTTCTTCACAAATATAACTAAAATATAGGAAAATATAAATTCAATCCAAACCCGGATCTTGAGTGGGGAAGGAATGATAAAATCCTTGTGCTTGTGTTTTTCCAACTCCTCCTTAGCTTCCTTGGCCTCCTTAGGTCGAAAATCTGTCAAAAGTCCCGAAAATGGTATTTTCTCGTGTCTTTATTCCATCCCCCAATAAACCCCGGACGAAATTACCTTTTTTTAGCGGAATTGGAAGTCACTCTAATATTTTTGAGCTACCACGCCGCATGTTGTGCCGCCCTATGCGACGCGATTGTGGAAAATTCCAAAACGATTCAAAATATGATTTCTGGCCACTTTTTGCACTAGCGCCCCACGAGGCATGCCGCGGGGCGATAGTGTAAATTGTGGCGAGAAATGAGTTTTTTCAAATTTGTAACACCCATACTTGGTTTTCGATCCCCCGAACGTGATCCCGACTTAATTTCTTGGGCTTCTACTTAGACTTTAAAGCTCCAAATAGCTCGAATTAGCTCCACAACATCTACATAACTTGGAATCACTCTACAAGGCATAAAACACACAATAAGTACAAAAAAATTACTAATTAAATCTCAACACAAGTTAAGTGCAGTGAATTAGAGTGTAGTAAGTGACTAAAATAGAGATTATAGCCTACCATCACCAACCTAGTGAAGGAGGATAAGTTTGCACCTAGAACTAAGAAAGCAGTCTTTTTGGGATACTCCTCTACACAAAAAGGATATATATTTCTTGATTTAGAAACTAATTATATTTTTGTCAGTAGATATGTTACTTTCAGGAAATCGGTTTTTCTTTCAAGGAGACTCAAATGCAGATTAATCCACACACAATGATGCAGAACTAAGATGATTTCCTATGTCTACAGTTGGACAACACATGTTGTGGAAATACAAATCCCAAAGGAGTATGGTCAAGCAACAAAAATGCCAGTTATGACTACACCATTGGAATAACCTGCAAAAGTCACATCTGGAAATTCAGCAACCACTGAAAGAGAAGCTGGAGGCTTGACAAAAGGCTTTAAACAACTAAAGGAGATCATGGAATCTACAGCACCTGCAGTTTTAGCTGAGGAGACAACAGTTCATGTTGCAGATCCTACTGCAGAAAATGCAGATCATTTGGCAATTCTAACTTTGCAAGGAACTTCAGCATCTGAAGGAATTCCAACTGCAGAAATCATGCAATCAGCAAGAACAAAATAGCCACCTATATGGATGCAAGATTATGTTACAGAGAAGCAGAAATCCATAGAGTGTGCCTACTCCATCTCTAACTAACTATCTTATGACACTGTAACTCAGAAATACAGAGATTACTTGCATGTTTTTCAGTAATGAAAGAGCCATATTCCTTCAAGCAGGCAGTAAAAAAAACAAGAGGTAGATTGAGGCAATGCAGCAAGAGGTGAAGGCTCTAGAGGATAACAAAACTTGGGATATAGTGACTCTACGTGCTGGGAAGTCTACTACTGGATCTACGTGGGTATACAAGATCAAATATAAGTCAAATAGAGAAGTGAAAAGATTTAAGGCAAGACTTGTAGTAAAGGGATACAATCAACATGAAGGTTTAGACTACCATGAGACATTCTCTCCAGCTGCCAAAATGGTGACTGTGAGATCTGTCATAGCTGTTGCAGCCTCCAAAGATTGGAAACTTTATCAAATAGATGTATTTAATACATTTTTTCAGGGAGATCTATATGAAGAAGTGTACATGGACTTGTCACAAGGCTTTCAAAAGCAGGGGAGAAAAAGGTATGCAGGCTTTTGAAGTCCTTGTATGGACTTAAGCAAGCATCAAGGCAGTGGAACTTAAAGCTCACAGAAGAATTAGTCAATGCAGGTTTTCATTAGAGTGCTTTTGATTATTCCTTGTTCAATAAAAGATCTGGGAGTGACAAAGTTATTATTCTCATATATATGGATAGCCTGCTAATTACTGGAAGCAATAGTATCACGATTAATGAGGCCAAGGAAGTTCTACATTAGCAGTTCAAGGTCAAGGATCTTGATGAACTGAGATACTTCTTAGGTATAAAAGTCTTGAGATCACAACAAGGTATTTTGCTTAATCAAAGAAAATACACCTTGGAGTTTATTTCAGAGTTAGGACTGAGTGGAGGAAAGCATGCAGTCACACCATTGGAGATCAATCAGAAGTTAACTTTAGTGGAGTATGATAAAGGAGCTGGAGTGGAAGGAGATGATCCTATGGTTGACATTACAGGATATCAAAAGCTCATAGGAAAGCTTTTATATCTGACAGTCACTCGACCGGATATAAGCTATGCAGTACAGAATCTTAGTCAATTCATGCAGGCTCCAAAGAAATCTCACATGGATGCAGTTATTAGAGTGGTTGGATATCTGAAGGCAACACTTGGCATGGGAGTTCTTATGCACACTGGCAATCTACAAACACACTGCTAGGATTTTATGATTCAGACTGGGCTACCTGTCTTGTTACTAGGAGGTCAGCGAGTGGATATGTAGTGAAGTTTGGGAACTCTTTGGTTCCATGGAAATCAAAGAAACATCATACAATATCTAGAAGCAGTGCAGAAGCAGAATACAGAAGCATGGCTTCTGCAGTTGCTGAGATTTTTTAGCTAACTGGGTTGTTTCATGAGTTAGGGATCACATTAAAAAAAACCAGTTACCCTCTCTTGTGACAGCAAAGCTGCAATGCAAATTGCAGCAAATCCCATACTCCATGAGAGAACCTAACATATCGAGATCGATTGTCATTTTATACGGGAAAATTTCAAACAAGGATCATTGGAGTGCCTACTAAGGATCAACTGCAGATTTACTGACCAAAGGATTGAGCTCGGGATAGCATCACTACTTATTAGGCAAGCTGGGAGTGTTAAACATTTTGCACCCTCTACCTTGAGGGGGAGTGTTGAAGTGTTGTATATAAGTCTTAGTTAGTATAGGGCTCAGTTTGTAAATATTAGAAATTAGAGGTATGCATTAGTTATTTAGCATAGTTATAACAAAATTAGTTGGTTGATTAGTTATAAATATCTTTATCTATAAAAAGTCTGATTTTAAAGTTGAATGAAAATATCGACATTTCCTTTCTCTGAAGCTCCCTCGATGGCAGAAATCCAACAGGGTAACCAGTAACAAGAGGCGAAGATGGTACATAAACTTGATCCTTTTTCTTAAAAACAATAATCCAAATTATTCTCAACTAAGAAATTAATTAGGAGCGATGAAATTACGCCAACACGGTTGCTTGAGAATAACCATAGGCAATGAAATCATCACAATCTGTCACCATAAGCATATGCATGGCATATCAATGAAATCTTGATTATCTTTATCTACATTTTCCATAAAACTAACAGTACTTAAGACTAAAATACTAAAGAAGGAAACTTTATAATCCATAAAGTTTTTCAGGAAAACTTTTATTAATTACTAGCATATAAGAGTGCTATCCCTTAATTAAGTAAACCAGTTAGCTCTTATTGAATATTATATCGCATGACATTCCTGACTTCTTGTTAACAATGTAAATGAATATGGACTACGTGGCGTCTTCGATAGCACAGCATCTGAAACATAGTAAGAGGGTGTTCTGGTGTTTACTATGTATAATCATATTTCTTACCTTGTTCTTTACGATTTGGCCAAATACATATACAACCCATTCAACTTGACTCTGTTTTTTATTTTGGCACTCTATTCCAATCTTGTTCCATTTTGACCCTTCAACTTTATTTCTTATGTTTCATTTTAACACAAAAGCTGAAACCAGTGCAAAAAAGTATAGCGCGTGTGTATACACAAATATGAGGTATAATAAATATCCAATTAAATATTGACACATGGTTTTTTCATCCTTTATTTCATATAAGCTTGAAGTTTGAAGTGAATCTATGTCTCAAAGAAAATTATTTTCTCATAATGGAATGGATATTTGTTCTTGTGGATTTCAAGTTGAACTGAAAGTATCATGGAAACCAAGAAATTCGGGTCGGGTATTTTAGTATTGACCCGTTTGACAAGGATGAGCAACATTTAATTGGATATTTATTACATTTCAGATTTGTGTATACACACGCGCTATATTGTTTTGCACTAGTTTCAGCTTTTGTGTTAAAATGAAACATAAGAAATAAAGTTGAAGGGCCAAAATGGAACAAGGTTAAGATAGAGTGCCAAAATGAAAAATAGGACCAAGTGTATTTGGCCTTACGATTTTGTATTAGCCAATTAATCAACAGTAAAATTATTAATTATTCAGGGTTCTCCTTTTGTCTGGTCCACACGGCCTTTTCCTTCTTCTTCTATTGATTTTGTTTTTCTCTCAGTTTAAATTTGGAAACAAAATGTCAGTACAATCTGTTACTCTTGCCAAAAAGATTTGCTCAAAATAACTTTAGAAAATCATGAATGCGTTAATTTTTTTTTCAATTCCACCCTCACTAATAAAAAAATAAACGAATATAAACATTAGTTACTCATTTAAGAAATAGATAAGGGTTACTTTATCAAACTTTTATAATTAATGTTATTAATAAAGGGACAACTTTTATAACTAGACAAGATTTAAGAAATTATTATAAATTTATAGCAGCAAATCCATAATTATATGGATAGTAGATTCTATAGCAGAAAACTGATCCACACCCATTAATACTAATTAATTACCCATTAATTATCACCATTTTCCATTTATTTTGCACATTTTTAGGGATACTATACTACTAAAAATAAGCAAATGTTATTCAAATTTGGTCCATCCCCTTTCATATGAGAATAGCTCCATTTTTTCTTTCATTTCTTTCTTTTTTTTCTTTTTTTTTTCTTCCAAAAATATGCCTCTTGCTTAGTGTTACAATTTTTGTTTTATAATAATCTTATACTATCACAAGCAAATGCGATATTCTGATAGTTATACACGATATGATTATGGTGTGTGTATGTAAGTGTGAACCAAGATAAATATAAATTTAAAATACCAAATCCTATAATTCACAAAAAAATACGTGGTATATGTATGAGCTATAATTATGATTTATACAACAAACGAGATCTAAAAAATATTATTAATTATACTAAAAATATATATAGTATATAATATATTCATTATATATTTATGAAATAATTTCTGGCATATAGCATATCTAATTATAAATATTTAATTATATAAATAATACAACAATGATATAATCTATATGTGTTTGCGCATATTTATTTTAGCTAGAGCATATTCTTGGTATATTTATAGAATATATAAAAATACATAACATATTATTCATAATATATTTATGTAATAATGAAGGAGCCATTATGGTCAAGTTGAAAAACATACAGATGAAAAATAAGAAGGGAGAGAGTGAATGGAGTCGTTTGTATGAAGGGAAGAGAAAACGAGATTAGGTTTTGAGAGGGATAAAGGAGAATAAGTTAATGATTCATCCCTTAATTAGTGATTCATTAATTAATGAATCTTTTAAAATATGTAGGCAATTAAACGTATGAGATTTTAAAATAAGCCACAATGATAAATGATTTTGCTATTTTTGGAATAAAACAAAAGTAATACCATTTATATTACTAACTCTTTAAAAAAGATCATCATGTAAAAACATCTTAATAAAGTTGTCAAAATGAACTTGACCTATCGAGCCAACTGAACTTAGCATGGTATAATTACATTCGGTTGGGCTGGCTTTTTAGCCCATTTAAAAAGGAAAAACAAACAGCTTGATTTACATGAGCTAATAGAAAATTAGCCGTAGTTTCAAAGGTAATCAAAATTTAGCTATTTTTTTATGTAAAATAAAACCTGAACAAAAATATCCTTAAAATACGAAAAGAAATCTAGCATAATATGTTGGAGCTCAAATTTTTTACACATAAGATTCCAGCATAATGTACTGGAGTTCCAACATAATATGCTGGAAGTTTATACATAGTAACTCCATTATTCAACATATTATACTAAAATTTTCTGTATTTCAGATAGGGTATTTTTTTCCATATTTTATCTCCATACTATTTGCATTATTTAAAATTGAGGCTTTTTAGAGGGTGTTTGGCTAATCTTATAAGCTGGTCAAATGTAACGACCCGACTTGTCATTTTAAGAATTAACGCCCAGTTCAGTAACTTAAGCTCTCGAGAAACTTCGTAATAAGTATTATGACCCGCGGGTGTGGTCAAGTTTGATTTTCGGAAGATTCGAAATTTAATTAAAAGAACAATTCTTATTTAGAAACTTAAAATGGAAAGAGTTGACCTGAGAGTTGACTTTTGAGCAAACTACCTCAGAATAGAATTTTGATGATGTCAATAACTTCGTATGGTAATTTTGAATTTCGACGTATGTCCGAATTTAGATTTGGAAGTCCGTAGGACAATTCTACATATTTTGGCGAAAGTTAAAAAAAATAGAAGATTTTGAAAAATCCTACCGAAAGATGAATTTTTGATAACGAGGTCGGATTTTGATTTCGAAAATGGGAATAGCTCCATTACGTCAATTAGACTTGGATGCAAAATTTGAAGTCATTCCGAATTGATTTGATACGTTTCGGCGCAAAATATAGAAGTTGAAAGATTTGAAAAATTTATATTTTATTCGATGCACGATTCATAATTTTTACGTAGTTTGACAAGATTTGAAGCCTCCACTAAGTTTGTATTATATTTTGGGACGTGTTAGTATATTTGGTTGAGGTCCCGAGGGGCTTTGGTGTATTTTTGGATCATTGATTAAGAGATTAGTAAAGTTAAGAAATTTGGGAGTTTGACCATGGTCAATATCGGGTCAAGACGACCGCTTTTCAGTATTTTGAGTGCGTGAGCAAGTCCGTAGCGTGTTTTATGATTGAAATTCATATATGATTTGTGTCCGTGAGGTTCCGGATGAGTTTTGAGAGTGCTGAGGCAAAAAGGGAAGTGCGGACCTCAGGGGAATTTCTTGAACCGCACAATTTAGGTGCGGACTGTGCTCCAATCCGCAGTGGAGTTCGCGGACCGCACAATTTTGTGTGCGGCCGCGCTCAAGAACTCTCAGATTCGCTGGTCTGACTTCAGAAGCTCATATCTTTTGATCTACAAGGAATTTTGAGATGATTCGAAAATGAAAGTTGTAGCCCTTCGTGTCTAGCTTCCAAAAACGTTAAGAAATCATAATTCTGACATCTGTAGAGAAAGTTATGGTCAATTTACTAAATCCTAATAGAAGAGAAGGCTGTGAAGTGCGGCCGCACCATTTTTGTGCGACCGCAGGAGCAGCCGTGCCATTTTTGTGTGAACCGCACATTGGAAGTTCTATGGATGTACTATATATCCGAGGTTTAGGTTATTATTTTATTTTTGGACTTTGGGAGCTCAGTTTGAGACGATATTCGTGGTTTTTTCAAGAAATTTATCGGGGTAAGTGATTCTAACTCAGATTTGGTTAATATACATGAATATATCACTGATTTCATCATTTAATTAGTACTTTAAGATGGAAATTTGGGAAAATTATAGAAACTTCATAAATCACAAATTTAAGATTTGGAGGTCGATTTGTTATTGGAATTCGATAAAATTGGTATGGTTGAACTTGTATCGGAATGGGTGTTCAGATTTTATGAAA